GGGGCCCCCCCCCCCCCCCCCGCCCCGTTGTTTTCCAGTCTGCAGGAGAACTAACGAAAAAATAAAAAAAAACAAGCCCCCGCCGGGAAAATCGAATGGCTAAAGTACGACAGGTCGCATGAGATACCCCACTCCCCCCTGGCGCGATTTTCCAAGCCGGACTGCTCTTTCGCGCAAACGCCGACGGAATATACCGAAGATGGCGGCGGCGTTGGAATCGTCTCGTCGACGGCTTTCCGAAAATACGGACCGTTCAATTCTTGGGCTCTTCGTGGGCGGTAATCGAGCTTTGAAGTTCGGTCCAGGGGATGTGGTATCTTGCGTCACATTCTGTCTTCCTTTTGCCCTAATGACGAGTTGTAAACAACTTTCGAAACCGCTCAGTGTCCCCGTGCTCGGTCACGAGTTCCGGGTCACAGGGGATCTTTCTGAGCATCCCACGCCAAAGAACATCGACAAGCCATACACTTGGCAACCAACTTCCTCGGGTCTCTGAACATTTTTTTTTTACCACACACAAGGACCGCACACCAGGGAAGAAGCATGCGCTTGCGCGATAACGTCAAATCATACAGCGCTCTAAGAACAAAGGCTTCATAGTAGACACAACGGCACTTTCTGGAGAACACCAATAAGAGGCGGCAGGGTGGGTGAGTCGGGGGGGGAGGTAAACGCGTGCAAACGCATGCCGTAGTCGATAGACAATTAACCTCGCATCCACACATTGCCAGGACGGAGCGATACGCATGCCGGGTTTTCGCCGGGCCAGGCTACTTTTCACAAAAGGTCGGGGGGGGTGTACTCATAGTCGTGCTTGCCGTACCATAGTCGTTAGACCATTGACCTCGCATCCCTTCAAAGCCGGACGGAGCACGCCGGGTTCTCACCGGACAGACAGGCTCTCACATGGGGGAGGCGGGGGGGGGGCAACGCAAAGAACAAAACTGAATGATCCAGCCCTCTCTCACTTGAAACGCGAGCGCTGTGCGAGTGATGTCGAGCGGGTACGTGACGACGGTGGCGGTGAAGGCGGCCATCGCACCGTACGCGAAGTTCGCCAGCGCTGGGGGCAGACCTCGGCCTCGCCCATCCTGTTGCCGCCGACGCGCTTGGCACGGACTCTCGCCTTCCCGCCCTCCCGTCCTCCACCCCCCCCCCACCTTCCCGACTCTGCCGGCTCCGCGCCGTTCGTGAGGCGGCGACGAGGACGGACAGATACTGCCGCGGTGCCTGACGCCGCCGCCGCTGACGCTGCTGTCGTGCTGTCGGGAGCGGAGGAAGTCCGTGGCTCGAAGCTGCTCGTACGCGCTAAACTGGACCGCCGTGTAGGCCGACCAAAGAAACATCGCCGGTAGGTTCCCTCTATCTCCCCGCCCGGCGGGGTCCCGTGTTTTTTTTGTTTTTTTTGTGGCGGCACGCGGTACGGAAGAGGGTTTCAAAGGGTAAAATTAGTCGGACATCATGTGGTGTGTGTTTGAATATCACGTGGCCCTCCAAGATTTGGCGGTTATTATCCTATGTCGAAAGCAGGTCATGTCTACCGGGGGCGACAAAAAAGGAAGTGATGCCAAGGGAGCCAAGACCAAGCAGGTGATACCAAAGAGTGGAGAATATGCCACGGGCGTCCATCTTCTTTTTCGGTATGATACTACGATGCATTCTTCTGACAGACTTAAAAAAAGTACGCACCGAGACACAGCAGTCTGCCCCGTCTACTTCTTGGGGGCGCGTCAAGAGGTGAAATATGTTGCATGGTTTAGTCGGGATTGGGTACGTGCGCAGGCATGACCTTGGCCGACGGTTGGTTGGTGGAATGCCGAGGGAGGGGAGATGATCACAAGCGTTTAGTCCACCTACATACATATGCTTGTACAGTCGTGCCTCGTTGAAGGACACCAAAAAATAACGAAACGAAATTTTCTTCACCGGGATAGGGTGGCTCGGAGAATGCACAACACAAGGACGGGAATCATACACATCAACCTTAAGGACACTTCCCCGGCTTAAAGGACACAAATTCTAGAAAAATAATACCAGGTGTGATGTGTCCTTATTCGAGGTTCGACTGCCGTACCTCCACAACGTGACCAATCCCTCCTCGCCGTAGATACTCCGCATCGCCGCCCACAGGGTCGAGTCGTAGCGTCTCGTCGCGCCGTGGTCCAGCTGGAACCTGACAACACGGGAGGCACGGGGGGGGGGGGGGGCCCCCAATTGGGAAGGGGGGAGAGGGGGAGGGTCGTTCATTCCGTCGCTTGTAGTATACAAGTGCAAAGTAGTTTTTCCCCTTACAGGCCGCGTTCCTTGTTGAGAAAGGGAGTACGGGCGCTTCCACCTACTCTAGCGAACACCCGGTTCTACGCGAGGTGAGGGAACGGGGGGTCTTACCTATATTGCGAACTGTCGTGGGTTTCACGCCATTGTTCATGTTTGGTCTACTCCTATGCGCCGGTCGTGAATCTTTCTAGGGCGTCTGTACTACTGTATACCACTAAACCCCAAGGTATTTGTTGTCTTTGGGTTCAGGAAGGACGTTGGGGAGGTACTGGTTCTGAAATAGAACCAAAATTGGTACTGTACCGAACAAGAACGCACCGCCCGCTCCAACAAAGACCGGGTACTCCTCGCAACACCGAACGGAGTTGCACAAGGACGGGACGCGTCGGAAGGCAAATGTAGGAGAATATTCAAGGCTACAACGGCCCTCCCCGACCAGACAGCAGCACTGAATCTACTACGCTTCCACGGCGGTTGATACCTAACTTTCGCTGTTTTTCCTCACATATACATGTGAAAACTTCAAAGGGAGCTGACGCAGATGTCGGTACGGGTGGAAAGGGCCCAAGGCTTGATTGACGCTAGGTGTTGCCCACTGCAGCTGTATCTCTCACCTTATTTTTGCAACGTCCAGGGGAGCAGTAAGCACGCGGGACACCGCTGCAGGGGCCCAGCGGATTGCAAAACAGGGACGACGTGGGGCAGTGGGGGCAACACACCACCAGAGAAGGTGCACATGCGTCAGACAGCGGTCAGGCGTTGTTGTGCGGGCAAATAAGCACAAGTGCTACAGCAGTAGTAGTTTCTGCTTGTTCGCGCTACGCTACTGCTGTTGTAGCACCGTACACACAAGCTGACAGGCGTTTCTCCAAGGGGAGTACTTTGTCCATCGGGGATGTACGCGGTGTAGTCGAAAGCGTCTGTATCAGCGGCAACCGCAGTCAGGGTATACTACACTCGGCGTTCGGCGGTGTATGACAGACCCTGCTGGGCCGAAGTTCAAAGCTCGATTGCCGCACACAACACAACAAGAGGGAGGGGACATTTTCCCTAACAACCCTAACCCTAACCCTCTAACCCTAACCCTAACCCTAACCCTCTAACCCTAACCCTCTAACCCTTTTCAGTCGTTGTCTGTGCCAGAAGGGCGCGTGGAGAATATTTGACGAGAGGTGCCGGTGCCGGAGCGGAGCGGGCGAGCCGAAGAGGGTGGAGGTGGAGATACCGCAAGAGGCGGAGAGATGGCCGCCGCCCCCCTTAGAGCGCCTTTCAAACCTCCATTGCTCGACATCCAAGCTTGATGGTGACCGACACCAAGATTGTTCGTTTCGGAAACATCTCGTCGAGGGCTTTCCGTAGGCGCATGAGGCTCTTTCCGCACCCTCTTGGCTGTGGAGAAAATTGAGCTTCGAAAGTCGCTCTACGTGGGCATCTCTGCGCCTTGCGCTACTATCTCATCAAGACCATTCCGAGTGTAGTGGATGCAGACAAGTAAATCAGATCGTATCATTTCGGCATTGGCGCTCTCTTGGTGCTTCGGGCTTTGCCACTCAAATACGGCACCATCCCACCTTCCTGAGGAGGTGATACATTGATACCACCCGAGTGGGCGTGTCGTTTGATTTGCAGGTCGCGATGCTCTTCGATAAAAACCTCAGAGGTGTAAACTCTCAGATTGCTTCATCGACGCTCAGGTGTACCCTGCACGAACCATCGTCTGCTCAACTTTCCACGATTGCCCCAGAGTATAGCAACTGCCGACGGTAGCTCGCCATGAAGCGCTCCCTGACCTCTTGCTCTGCTCTTCTACTACCTGGAAAGCTACCCCTGCTGAAGTACTGCACGTAGACAGCGACAGGTCGTATTCGCTGCTGATCTGCTGATACAGCAGCAGCAACCGCAGAAGCAGAAGGTATTATTATTATATATAGTGTTTCTTGCTCAGCACGCCAGACAGCCGGGTGTTTTCTGGTAGTCTTTCTCTGGTGTTGGTGTTGTGCATGTACCACGTACTTTTCTAAAAAATGGTAGATAAGGGCCTCATTCCTCATTCTGCACGTGTGGATCGTTCTCGCGAGCCTGGCTGAAAAAACCGAAAAGCCATACAAAACTGATGAAATAAAAAGAGCCTGTTACCCGCAGGGGAGATGTCCCTATATGCTGTCTGGGAAATCGTAGACATACAGGTACTTTCTGACGCTATGAATCCATTGCTAATCTGTCTCAGACTCTTTTCTATGATAGAGATGGTTTCGTTGTGTCATATTAAGAAATTAAGGAATAATAAAAACACACACAGAAAGACTACCCATTCGAGATATACCAGAAAAAAAAAGAAAAAAAAAAAGCCGAAAAGCCGGCAGCCTCGGGCCTCGAGGTAACTGCGGCGCAATTGCGAGTTCTTTGTTACGGGTGATCAGCAACATGTGCTGGAACATCTCCATTGTACAGGTCTCTGGTTGGTACTGCGCTGACTTGTTCATAGCCGCCATGACAGCAGCAGCTCGAGCTGCTATTGCTTCCTTCTAGGCAACGCCTGCTTCAACCGGCCGCCTTTGTTGGCACAACTGAAAGCTAGGCGATAACCACCGCAGCAGCAGCAGCAGCAACAACAACAGCAGCAGCAGCACACCAAGCACGAGTGACGTGACGGTTCGAAACGTGATCACGACATACAGCAGTTTTGTTCTCACCGCCAGCCGTCGCCCCGGCGAAGCCATTGCGTGCGACCTCGAGCGCCTTCGACGTGAGCACGGCCGTCAGCGCAGCGCAGGGCTCTCCATCCTGCACTTGGTCAGCAGCAGCAGCAGCAGCAACAGCAGCATCGCCCCCGCCACTCACCTGTTCCCGAGTGTTCATGTGTGGGGTCTGCTCTCTGGTGGTCGGTGTTTTTCCGCTCTTTACCACACGCCGGACTCCGCGAGTACCGCGACTTCTGGCTGCTTATACGAAAGAGTGCCACCAGCAGTGCCGTGTCAAATCAACCTCAAGGAATCTTTGAGTCTATCCACAGCGTGGCAGACGCTACCCAGCTGGATGAGTGTAACTTATCGTAGTGGAGTCGTGTTTCTGCTTGACGAACACGTGGGGGTGCGGCAGCTCGGAACGGAGGTTCTACACGTACCCGGGGCGGGTTGACCTTTTGCGTCCCCCCTTCTGTGCGGTGCTGCGATCTTTCGATCTTCGATCTTTTAGATCTTACATCTCCGGCCGTCGACGCCCTGTCACCCCCCGTCTCACTCTCCGGATTCTGAGCCGTAGTGCATTCATGTCTCTCGGTTAGTGGCACTCTCGACACGCCTAGGACAATATGACCGATCACGCAGCCTCGTCCTCTACCCAAGGGAAGGTTCACACAACCCAACCCGGACGGTCTGGCTACAAGGTTCGGAGACACCACGCATCCAACAAACGCGACGGGTGCAACGGCAAAAATCTTCTGCAGAACGGCCCGGGAAGCGCTGATGGAAGAGGAGGCAACAAGACTAAGAAAACCGGTGAGCTTGGACACGCCGCGCCGATTTCCTCGGTGCCGCCCCCATCTTCGGGCACCTCGCCATCATCTTTGCTGAAACAACGGCCGCCGTTGTCGGCGGATAGTTGTGTTGAGAGTGGTCGAGGCGCCAGTAGGCGCCCAGCAGCAGCCGGTAGGGCTAAGGCTACAGCGGAGCATCTTTCCAGCCATCATGTAGAGAACGATGTCAAGACACTAGCAACTGGTTCTACAGCCATGTTTTCCTGTGCCGACCAGATCACTCAGGCCGCCGTGCACAACACGACGACACCTGACAGTAGGGCCTCACTGGATCCTTGTGGTAGTCTCAAGCGCGACTCGAGCCAGCAGAGAATTCTACGCTTGCCCAGAACTCGGGGACATGAGGCTTCTCAGCAGGCCGACAGCGCTGAGGACGGCCAATGGTCGGATGCCAGCAGAGGTCCCCTCGTACGGTCGTCAGCGTCAACGGTGCATGGATCCAAGCAACATCAGCAGCAGCAGCAGCAGCTTCAGAAACAGCAGGAAAAGAAACAGCGACAGTCGAAAAAACATGGATCAAAGAAACGAGCACCAAAGAATCAACATCAGCAGGAGCAGCACCAGCAGAAACAGCAGGAGGAGCCCAAGCATGAAGCACAAGCAGTTGGTACTTCGAAGGACAGCATCTCGCCTCATACCCCCGATCATCAGCGAGGCAAAGAAGAGAGAACTGAACCCACCGGCACCGCGAAGGGACTCGAGTTTCACGAGCTTTCACCAGCAACGTCAACGGACTACGAGGAACGGTCCCCGTTTCTTGAGAAAAATGCGGGCGGCAGGAAAAATGGCGACGCGGGGGTCGACTCCATCGATTCCTTGTGCTCCTCGCTACTAGAGATTCTAGCCGAAAGCGAGGATGTTTCCTCCAAAGCCGAGCTTGCAACCTTAACCTTGGGCTGGCGGAACAAGTTTCTCCCGACCGAGAAACCGCTGCTCGAGGAAACGACGCCGACAACTTCAGCGGTGAGCAGCACATCGTCCTCTGCAAACAGCAGGAAGAGTGACGAGTCCCCTGCTGGCAGCATCCTTCCCACACCGCAAAAGCTCGTCGATCGCGGCCAAAGAGACCGCGAGAAGAAACGGACGAGGAACAGAAAGAAGGGGGAGAAGAAAGACAACAACGGCGGCGGCGGTGGCGGAGGCGGCGGCGGCGGTGGTTCGCTGGTTCTTGATAGCGTAGATGTGGCCGGCGACATCGCGCAGTGGGCTGCGGACAACAGCCGGGGAGGAGAGTTCACCAAGGTGCTCGAAGCCGTCAGGCGAGACTCGGGAGTCGTGTCCGTCGACACTCGCGCGGTGCTGAAGCAAGGGAGAGGGAAAGGTGCAAGGGCCCAAATGTGAGATCAGATGGCGGTGGGTTCCTACATACGTACATAGGTTGATGAGGTTCCCTCGTATTGCCCATGTCTCGTCCATCTGGAAACCACCGAAGTGAACTTTGTCCGAGACGGCGTGTATGCGCGTGTAGACATGCTCTAGCCTACTGTTTATGAGTTTCTTCAAAACAAAAGATCTATATCTGTACATGTTCGGAAAAACGCCCATGGAGTGCCGTCATGACGCAAACGAAACCGAACGAACTTTGCGCCTGGTATGGACGATTTGGGACGAATGTGTTGAGGGGCGATTGCAAATCGTCGTTGCCCTACTTTCATGGGGAGCACTTTGTTTTTTGTGGAAAAGTTTCAGACCCAACATAGGACCACCACACGGCACAAAGTACAGCCAAGGAGGCCATAGCGAGTGCCGAAAACTTGACGGCAGCAACATGAGCCGCTATCCTTTTTACTTTAGTTGTTGAGCAAACGCCGTGCACGTGGAGGTGATGAGGCTATCATATACGGTATTCACCCCCGAAGCCAATCACACGTTGCCCGTCAAGACGTACATTGTACGCGCAGTAGACGAGACTGACTGTCGAATTGACATCCGGGCAGCAACAGCGGAGAAGAAGGGCCAGCAAACCTGCGTAGTACGTGTGGGCACACGTCCTCCCTCCTTTGACCCTCCGTTGTTTCTGTCCGTGCTTTCTCGCAGCGACAAGGTACACGTCGACATCCGCGCGGCGACTCCCGCGCAGGCGCGCGTGGCGAGGGCGCTGCTCCAGACGCACTTCAAGAGCCGGTCAGAGCTGCTGCGCCTGGAGCATGCCCGGCGGTCCATGGAGGGCAGCCTGTCGGCCTTCGAGGCGAGACGAAGTTCCCACGAAGCGCTGTGTACCGTAGACATGCGACGTAGTCGATACGGCAGTATGGTGATGCGGGAAGTAAAAAGAGCCAAAGGTCTTCCTTGTGCCATCCGTCTCGGAGATAAAAAAGTAGATAATGATACTCCTCGTACAAGTAGGGTTGAAGAGAAATATACGATATATTCCTCGTGCATGTGTGCACTCCCTTCTTATTTCTCTACCTATCCGTCTACACAGAGGCCAAGGTTCGCCCCCCCCACCCGGCCATTAACACCTCGTCTATCCTGACTCCGTCAACCCGCTTGTAAACGTATTCGTTCGTACGTAACTGCCGCCTTCCACCCTTCACTCTCACTTCACACTAAAGCTACTGTCGGATGTCTATAAAAAACAAAACAACAGCGCGAGGTGTCCCAGGGCCTGCGCGTCCAGTTCGCCTCCCGACCGGAATGGATTGGGCTTCTCGTCGGCAAGGCTGGGTCTCGAATACGAGGCTTGCGAAAATCCACGGGGTGCAGCATCGAGGTCATCGACGGCGGCGGCGGCGGGGGGCGGGGAGGTCCTGACGGGAGTTGTGGAGGGGGAGGGGGTGGTGGCGGTGGTGGCCACAAGGCGGCGAGGGGGCAACCGCCTGCGCCCTCGTCGTGCAGGGTGGTGATCTGCGGGCCGGACGCGGGCAGCGTGCAGAGAGCACGAGAACAGATGGAGCTGACGGAAGTCAGGATAGCGGTGAACCCTCAGCAGGTAAAGAAGACAGGGGAGGGTAAACGACGGGTTGGTTCCAGGGACGCCCTGAAAAATTAAAGCATGCCTTCATGAAGAAACATTGAGCGGGAGGGGTGCTAGAAAGAACAAAGCATCACGACAACCAAAGCGCTGGACCAGCTCACTCCCACTCGGTGCAGGTCCTCCTTCTCTCTGTCGACCTGGATAGTGCTTGGTTTCTGGCCCTCGCCGTTGTGTCGTTCGACTCCCCTCCCTCAGGCTGCCGTGCTGGGGCGTCTCCCCCGCGCTAAACTGCTAGACCTTCGACAGCAGAGCCAGTGCATGGTGGTCGATCTTCTTCAGTCTGGTTCGGCCTGTCAAGGGAGACAGCAGCAGCAGCAGCAGCAGCAACAACAACAACAACAACAACAGAACGCTCCTCCTACCAAAAACAATTCTTCGTCATCGGGAGCTGTGACGGGGGTGATGTCGGTTAGAGTGATCGGGCCTCGTCCTACCGTGGACAGCGCGCGCCTGCTCCTCGGAGTGGTCCTGGAGTACATGGATCGGGAGAGGGAACTGCGCGAGGGTGACAACGTCGTGCGGGGAAAGCTTCTGGTAAGAAGCGAGACTTTACCACCATTCCAAAATCTCGGCGGAGTTCTGTACTCACATACGCCCGAACGACGCAGAGTAGAAAGTACACGGCAACAAGCATTGCACCGCAAGTAGACTCTTTGTCGTACCTCTACTGCATGTAGATGTGTACCGAATGTTTACCGACGCGTGTTGTCCGAAGTGGTGCCGCGCGGTGGAGTTAGGATACGTGGTCATACCGCTCTTGTACAGTTTGCTTTAACTGCGGGAGACGTATGTGTGGTTTCGTAAGGTGGTCAAATCCAAGCGGCGATGACGCCGTCTAACGATATAAGTACCACGCGTATCAATCACGCTCTACTCTCCAAGCTGCGATAAACGTTGTCACGGGCTGCCACCTGATTGACCCCTCCCGCCCCCCACCAACCGCAACCCGCCCGCGGACGTGTTTTGTGTCGTGTCCAGGACATGCAGGCGAGCTTCGGGCACCCAGGCACCGCTCGGCCCGCGGCATGGGCTGCAAAAGCCGGGAGAGGTGGCTATGGCAGGAGAGCACCACCACCGGGAACATCACCAAACTCGACGGGCGAAAACCGAGAGGCCAACCAGCGGGACGACTAGCTCGCTCGCGTAGCCTATTGCCACTATTGACCACAGTGGATGAGTGAGCGAGATGCGTCACAAAAAATCATCAGAAGTTACTAGATGTGTGGCCACGGATTGAAGCTCTAACACGGCATGAATATGTGTCGTGTGAGCACTGATTTGAAGTGATGCAAACAAACAAAAGGCAGCAGAGTGATGGAACTGTTTACTGGAGGAGACCCGCCTTCGCGAGTGGCAAAGAACGGCCACTGATTCGGGAGTTATGGGGCAATACGGCGTGTTTTTCTCAACCTCCGACATAAGGCGCACGTGGCGCTGGAGCGGCAAGGGGCGAACGGTCTGATTGTCTTGGCGTTGGTTGTGTTTGGTGATATATATGCATACGCGCACAACGATTCTCTATCCAGCCACTACACAATTCGTCCCAGACGTCCTTAGTCGCCGCTGTACATGACCCAAAGGCACCGCGTTTTGTTTAGTGGTGCGCGCAACGATATCTATCCAGCTACGACTCGTCCCCACGCCCATAACACACCATCGCTGTACATAGAAAATAGCCCCCAAACGCACCGTGCTCCACGATCAGCGTCCGGCTGACAGTAGACTACCCGTCGTCACAGAGCTCATCTGCGGCGTTTTCTGTCAAAGGTCGAGCGTCTTTTTCGCCGCAAAGCTGACAACGGTCGCGTACTTGCTTGTCGCTCGTCCTCTTACACCGAAGACTGTTTATTGATATTTGACGGGTACAGAAGTGTAGTGGAAATCACCACAACTCTCTCTCTCACACACACACAATCCTCTCTGCAGGGACCCCTGGCCCTCTTCCCGAGCAATCATGCAACCAACACACCACCTAGTTACCCAAACAGCTTAATATAAAACCTCCCGGTCTTCTGCTAAACCTCAAGGCTAGCTTGAAGAGCTCGACACCACACCCCCAGGAAAGAAACGCCTGCTCCACCACGTTCCGGGACACCCCACAAACATGAGTCTGCGGCCACAGCAGTAGCAACAATCGTTCCACACAAACAAAAAAGCGCAAAAGTCCGATCCCAACCGAAGTTCAGCCAGACAGCTTCACCAAAGCCTTGACTTTTTCTACAAGGATTCAAAAACAACCAAGCTGCCGGGCTAAGACGCAACCGCTTCCTCCGGCACTTCGATCCTAGGGAAAACGGGGACGGGCTTGTCCAGGGGGACCCCGGGCTGCAGCGAAAATCGCCCCCCTCCCCCCTGATCTAACGCCGCGAATAATCGCGCATCTCCCTCCGGCACCCCTAGCTGGTCCAACAGCTTCCCGGCCGCTTCGGGTACGAACGGCTGATACAGGATCCCTACGTGTCTAATCGTCTCCAGCTGCGGGATTAAACGAGCGAGAGGGTGGCGTGTATCATGGGGGGGCGGGGTACTCAGCAGTCTCATGGATAAATCGTTTTTGTCCACAAATCGGACAGGGCCCTCGC